CCCACAAATACGCCCTTGGTGCCTAGCAATAATCTGGGCGACAAACAAATTCCGTCCATACCTAGAAACTTGACGTTTTGAACTCCTAACCGACAACACGGCACTAACATGGTTACACAGGGCTAAAGACAAAAATTCAAAATTAACACGTTGGTCACTACAACTAGCTAATTTAGATTTTAGTACGGTACACGTYCCRGGAATACAAAACGAAGCACCCGATTTGTTATCCCGTGACCYTGCACCGGGCTCACMCGTAGACGAAGAGCGACTTGAGGAGAAATTGGTAGGGGCGCCAACAACGCCGAAAAACAACATTGACCTCGAGTCCGACCGTAGCTTCTGTTACGTACTTTATCAATATTCAAAACATATAGTGTATGTCTCTACTATGAGTGGTGACTACTGACTATGTAGGCAATTAATATAAAATAACATGCCGAGGTCATTGTAAAAAGCGTAGTTAACACMAGATTACCTAGATAATTAAACTATAAAAGCATTGTCACACGTCTCTTAACGGAAAAAGTCTCTGTTACTAAGAAAGGATGTGAATCGACCAGAATAACCAATTACGTCAGGAGACTCAAACTCTGCTTTGTGCCAGATTTCACTACCACGTACGACTACCTACTCCTACGGACAYGAGCATATATAAGGGAGACCGCGACAAGAGCTCGTTAGACGGTTTCTAAAATGTGAGCCAGACGGTTCTTAAATTTGAACTAGACGGTTAGAGACGTTTAATACACTTAGGCCGATCGCACACCAAAAGAGCAAAACTGCGTTAGACAGTGTTAGTCAGCCTAACACAGTTTTGTTAAAAATAGAACATAGGAAATTACGTTGCATACGCACATTAATAAGACATAGTCAAAACAAAACGTTTTTGCTTTAAAWCACAATTAGTCATGACTGATACTGTCTGATAGTCCACATTTTTCGTTAGTCGCAACTAGACAAGAAAGAATATTATTCGTGTGTATTTTGTATTTTGTATATATTTTTAATAATATACTTATCACATAATGGCTTGTGATGGAGAAATACTAGTAAGTTTAGTGGAAATGAGACCATCAATTTATGATTTTGGAGACAAGGACCATAGCAATCGTATTGTGCAAGACAAGGTATGGAAAGAAATAAGCAAAGAAATGAATGTTGATGGTAATTTGAATATATTAGTTATAAAGTATTAAGTTAAGTTATTGAATCATTATTATTGCATACGAAATTCTAATTTGTATAGGTACTTAACAACATTACTTATTTAAAACAA